GAAATGATGGACTGGAAAACGGAACGCAATGCTTCCCATTTGAAGCCACCCCAAGATGTGCTTGGCTTGTAACGACGGGCAAAGGTCTTGGGAATTTCACCTGAGCCCCGTTTCCTGCGGTTGGATTCCTTGGGGGGGGTCACATGGTCCCCCGGCTCCAAGGCAGCAGCAGACTTGCGCTTCTGGAGACCTGTCGGCGAAGGCCCTTTGGGCACGTGCTTTCGGACAGGGGTTTTCATCTCAGCTTCAGCATCAGCCGGTGGTGGTTCAGGCTTGGTCTTAGGCTTAGCCTTAGCCTTCGCCGACTTTGCTGTCGGAGTAGGCTTTGCGTCCTTCTTTGTGTCCTTCTTTGTGTCCTTCTTTGTGTCCTTCTCCTTGGGAGACTTTTTGGCTTTCGACTTAGGCTTGGTCTTGGCCTTGCCTTCCCCCTTGGGCTTGTTTTGATGGGCATTCTCCTTATCATCCTCCTCCTTTTCCTTCCGGCGAGCCTCGTCGTCAAGCTCCCTCTTCCACTTCTGCTGGTCCATGCGAGTGATGTTCACCTGCAAGCAAGAAAGCATTGAGTGGAGAGAAGGTTAATGGAGGAAGGTTTTCATTGGAGAAAAACAGATGTAACTTAGATTTAAACCCCAAAGATTGGCCAATGATGGCTTGTCTCGATTCAACCGCACCGTAATCACAACTAACTGCCTCCTGGTCAAAGACTGATTTGGAGGCACCAGGGTCTAAAGCTTGTTCACCACTAGCAGCAGCAACATCATCAGACGGCACCGGGTCAGGCTGGGTGGGCGGAACAGAATCCTCGTCAACAGGTCCCTCCATGTTCTCAGGGCAATCATCACTAATTTCATCCTCAATTCCAATCACATCACATGCCAATGTGTTGGACATAACCTTGGCAATGGGGGACAAGTCCATCTCGAGGGTATCCACCTTGCTGGGATCAACACTCTGGGGACATAGCGGGGCTTTGGACTCCTTCTTGGACTCCTTCTTGGACTTGGCTGCGGCCAACATCTGCCTAGGCTCAATACGGACACATGGAAACACGATGTGGTATTTGGGGGTATGTGTGCAAAAACTGTTTTTTGTTTTTTTTCAGGGTACTGCAAGGCTTCAATTCGCCTCTGGCGGTCAGATTTCTCAACCGGGGCTGGCTCACATGAAACTTCTGGCTGGGCAACTGCAGCCATAGGATTGGGGGCATCTTGGAGTGACCCCTTGGGCTTTGACGGTGACATGCGTGCAACCAACTCATCAGGGACACCCAAAGCCTTTGCCAACTCTGTGTCCTCTAACATGTCCTCCTCAGCTTGCCGCTCAACTGCTTCCCCACCTCCCTCTGCCTCCGGCTGCACACCCTCATAGCTCTCTGTGGCCTGCTTGGCCAGCTGTGAGTTGCTCAAAGGCTAGTAGCCACGGATGTGAGCGAAGAGCTCATCCAACAGAGTATCCTTTGGGATGACTGTCTGGGGGTAAACATGAGAAAGCTGACAGAAATAGAAAAATTATGCTGTAGAAGAGGGAAAGGTCAAACAAAAATTAAGCATGTTCAATGAGCAAGTGTCTCGCTTTTTTCATTCCTATGCAATGTTTGGTTGATGAAGGTCATGAACCCTTTCAACGCCGTCCCATCGCAATGAATCTTAGCCACATCGTTCGACATGTTCAAAGAATCTCGGAGGAGTTTCACCTAACAGGGTGTTTGATGGGATATTGCACCGATATAGATTTTGCAACTAACAGACATTAGTGGTGATTTTAAACTTCATAGGCCTGGTCTTTTACCATGTCAATGGGTACCATAGCAGGCCCTTCCCACTGAGGACACCAAACATCAGCCAGCAACTTGATGACTTGTGTATTCAGCCGTAAAGAATCACCACTGATAACCCCAACGGTCTTGCTGCTTGGCCAGGCGAGCAGGCGACCAGAGTGAAGCAGGCGCTCCCGGGCAAGTGGGCTATTGGCAAGTATTTTATCCAGCCCGTCAAGCGACATGTTCAGTCACCACTCTTTCTCAGGACAGGATCCTTGAGCCGTCTACATGTATGTTATGGATTTTTCAGGAAAACTTTGAGCAACAGTGTCCCAGTTGTCAACCCCTCCACTCACCCTTGAAGGCACAAGCTGAACTGAGCAAAGCGGGTGGCACCTGATACCTTTCCGGGCCGCTATAGGGCTGAGGTAGGCACACCTGCGTGGGCGGCAAGCAATGTGACAACTGGCCAAAAGGATAAAGTCTAAAGGTGTGAAAAGACTTGATAGGAAAAGGGCATAACATGCAGAAAGGATTTTTTCCACTGACCCGATCTAGTGCACCATTCTCATTTTTGAGATCATTTCAGATCAGACCCAGAAGTTTCATTCTGGGGCTCAGAGGGTGTGGCTTCGGAATCTTTCAAGGAACCTTAGATTGGGGGTGCGCATGCGCTCAAAAAACAAATCCATGACATTGTGTTAAATTGACTTGTGCTGACCTGTTTTAAATCAAGAAGCCTGTGCACTGACGAAAATAAGTTGCCAGTTCAAAAACTGATCCATGCTGTCTGTAGTTAGACACTGCATCGTTCAGCATCTGGTCGGTCATGGTTTCCTGGAGGGGTTAGGCTACTACCAGATCCAAAGGGTTTCCAATTGGACAGAACAGCCCGTGTGAGTTTCAAATTGGCACTGTCCCACCTGAGAATCCTTCGGTTTGAAAAGTAAGCTGGCCACTTCATTCCAGAACTTATCCGGGAACCCCGTCAATCCTAGCAGGGGCAAAGGCCATGAGATACAAAGCGAACCCAGTACAGGATTTGAACATGCTTTGGTTCCATTCAAGTTTTCTTCCCTTTGTTGTCCTTTATCAGCTAAGACTTTGAGAGCTTCAGGGCTACATTGCGTGAAAGGCATTTTGCCTATTCAAAATTGAGCCAATGCGTGCTGCCTTAGAAATTAGATTCAGGAATGAAGGAGCTTGCATCAGGCACACATGCGGCCACTACATGGACAATTAAATTGAGATTGGAGCTGGTCAAAGCATTCTACTTAATCATAAAGATGGGTAATTGTCCATGTACCGTTGAGCAGGCACAGAAGGGTGCGCACCTGGAGAAAAGCGGGAAGTGAGAACCATACCAGGTAAGCCAAATGGCTTCAGAAACCCCAAAATTGGAAGAATACCCACTCAACATTACTAAACCCTGCTAAATCAAATTTCCGGGTTTTTGAAGAATTTCCGGGTTAAACCCAGAAATTCCCAAAATCCAAGAAATTTGTTCCCTTCTCGAGGCTCCAGGTATTTTGGAGTGAATAATAGATGAATGAATGTTGGTGTACCCCTGTGTCGGCTGCTTTTACCATTGCTTCCAGTCAGGCTGTATTCCGCACATCCATTAGGGAAGTGCTCGAGGGCATTCATGGATGGGTATGACAGCAGACTACGCGTTTAGGGTCGCCTGAGTCGCTTCCCAGGCATGTATGCAGACGGGCTTGGGTTCTGACTGACGATTCATTGCGCGGCGGAGGCGGCTTCTTCGCGGAACTGACCTGAGAGCAGGGCAAGTTGCTCGGGGTCGATGCGGGCGCAATTATGCGGATATGGTTTGGAATAGACTGGCTGTCTTAGTTTGAGTCATCTGGTCATTTGGAATTGAAGCGACAAAGGGGAAACAGCTCCGCAAATGACAGGATGGGACTTGCACGATATCATTTGTGGTCCCGCAACAGGAGCCCAGTTGACAGCGGACGGGGCCCCGGGCGATGTTGGAATCAGGGCAGAGCAGACCCCAGGAATGCCATTGTGAGCTTGGAGGCGGTGCGGCGGTGCATGGGAAAAAAAAGGAAATGACAAGCAAGCTTGCAAGCGCGCTCTCACTTCATTCTGCGATGGCAAAGATTAAATGATTTACAGATTGTCATAAAATGTGGATATGCTGTGGGCTACTGCAAGTTGGCCGGGGGGCACGGGTCATTTTCCGAGGAGGGATATTGCGGAAAGGTTGAAGCATGCAATAATTTGCCAATAGATTTCCAACCTCTGAGCCCTGCAATGATAAATGTAATATATGGCTTCTCAAGCAAAATTGTCAATTGCGAAGATGTTGCACCTAGTTCGGCGTATGACAAGTATATAATGTAACGACATGTAACGAATGAGACTTGATTGAATAGGTGAATGAATGTCGGCATACCTCTACATCGGCTGCTTTTACCGTTGCTTCCAGACAGGCTGCATTCCGCACACTAATATTAGGGAAGTGTTCGAAGGCATTCACAGATGGGTATTGACAGCAGACTACGCGTTTAGGGTCGCTTCCCATGCATGTCTGCAGATGGCCTTCTTATAGGTGATGACGATTGCATGGCGGAGGCGACTTCTTCACCAAATTGACCTGAGAACAGTGCAAGTCGCTCGGAGTCGATGCGGGCGCTATCAAATAGGGTATGGTTTGAAATATATTGTCTTAGATTGAGACATCATTGTCATTGACATTGAAGCGACAAAGGGGAAACAGCTCCGCAAATGACAGGATGGGACTTGCCGACACAAGGAATGATGATGAGCACCTACACGAGATCCCTTTGTGTCCTGCAATTGGAGTCCAGTCCACACGGGGCCCCGGGCGGTGTTGGGATCAGGGCAGAGCAGACCTCAGGAATCCGATTGTGAGCGTGGAGGCGGTGCTTGTGAAAAAGGCACATGACAAGAAATCTTGCGTGTCAATATGCCGTGGACGACTGCAAATGGGACGCGGAGCACGGGTCATTTTTCGACGAGCGATATTGCGAGAAAATTGAAGCATGCAGTGATGCAGCGGTTGTCAATAGATTTCCAACCTCTGAACTCTGAACCCTGCAATTATATATATAATATATATTGCTTCTAAAGCAAGATGGTCAATTGCAAGATATTGCACGTAGTACTATGTATGAAGTAATGAACGGGACTTGATTGAATGTGGCTGATATCAATCACATCTGAATTATTTGGATTGAATTGCAGCTGCCCTGGCTCAGTAGAGGTTAGTCGTCTCTATTGTTTCCACCGCATTAATTTCTTTCGGCTTGGACCGATGAAGGTTCTGTGCACCATGAATTAACGCGTCCAAATTTCCGTTCTGTACGGACGATCGGAGATTTGGAACGCTGGCCAAGCGGTGGAACAAGACACCGGCGACTTCGTCCAGCGCCATATGCTCCAAAGGATCCGCAAGGCCATTCATGCACTTGGGGTGAAACATGCGGTCACGGATGGCGTGACCGGCAGCGCCTGACAAGGTGACTCTATTCAAAGGAAGCCAAGCCTTGCCTAGCGGAATTAGGGGCCGGAGGGTGTGCAGTGCCTTGTGCGGTTCTTTATAGACACGCTTTAATTTAAATGCTTCCCGGATCTGCTGAGTAGAGCGTGGTGACTGGATCGTCAAACCAGCGTCTTTCAGCAGCCGGCGCCCCAATTGAATTATGGATTTGGCGTCCACCTTTTTGGGCGCGTCGTAAGCCTTCTCGGCAGCGACAGCCAGGCGGACGCAATTAATTAAGGCCGCGTCCCGTTCGGGATCCGATGCATCAAAAACTTGCTGCTGGGCCCTCTCTGCCAATGCAGTGAGGAGCCCTCGGATTTGCGGCGTTGGAACATGCAAGCAATGCTCTCGATATTGCATTATGCTGCGCAGCTTGGTCGGGCTGGATTTCTCCACAAGACCCTCTACCTGCGCTCGAGCAGCATTGAATTGGTGCACTTCCGTGCCACTGGGCGTGCAAGAAAGGAATTCGAGGAGGATGGGATTAGATGTGAACATCAAAAGGTCCCCATCGTAATCGCCACCCCCTAGTGAAACACAGCCGGAGCCGACTGTCGTGCAGATGCAACCGTTGTCAGGGACAAACCAGGCGTGCTCGGGAAGAGGGCAGGCTTCCCAAACCTGGATGTCTGACGGTTGCATCACAGGAAACCGCCACACGGCGAATTGGCCAACCCAGCACTCACCATTGACAACGATGTGGCACTGGTTGGCCTGGCGCGGTTGCAAGCGGAGCTTCAAGCAAGCTAGTGACACGGCCATGCGTCCGTTTGAATGTTTCTGCATGAACGTTTCAGAATGATGGTGAATCAAGAAGCCTTTCATGTTTGAGATGTGACAGTTCCATGACATCGGCCGGCCTTCAAAGTACCCCAAGGATCGGCGACTGCAAAGCCCGTGCCGCTTGGCCCGCAAATGGGCGCTTGCGGCCGTTTGGCGTAGGCAGTGCAGCCGCCGTTGTATCGGCGCCGACCAGCGAGGTAGCTGGATTTTGTACCTGACAGGTTGCACGCAGCGAAAGTCACGAAGGGGTTGGCAATCGACTCTGTGGCATCGTATCACCGAGAAGATTTTTTTTGTTCTTTGACGTGCTCGCTTTACTCTTACTATAATACCATATATATATATATCAGGTTAGAGATTACGCCGCTGCGTGATGGCGCGCCTCGGTCGATGCGCCAGGGCTCCGCGTCGATGTGGGTATGAAGGAGGCACTCCATGGAGGTGGCGACGGCGCCTTCCTGGACAGGGGCAGCGCATGGAAGTAAGCTGTCTTTTAAAAAAGAAGCTGTCCGCATATGCAGCATGTATGGGAAGTGGGAGTGGCACTCTTCTAAAACACCCCGCCTCCAGGACCTCAACGTACCTCACATCGACGCAGTGTTGCGAGGTGCGGTCGGCTGCCAACGGGTCGACCTGTCCCGCAGCAGCCGCCGCACCTGCTCGCTCCCGCGGATCCCGCACCACCTGACAAGCAAAAAGATTAAACAGGGTGGCTTTGAAGAGCCAGAAAATGGGGGCCACAGCAAGGCCAAATGTTTGGCAAGGATGGCTATGTTGTAGAAACCCGGCCTGCTGTACGGTTGGGGGTCGTGCCCGGTGACGCGGTAGCCCCCAGGCGGTGCGGGCATTCTGTTCGATGAAGGCCTGGGCAGCAGCAAGGGCTTTCGGTTCGGCTGTTCTGCATACATTAGTCTAGTCTAGTCTAGTCTAGTGTGTCTGTGTGTGTGTGTGTTCGTATGCATTGCTTTCCAAAGGTTGAAACAAGATTAGCCTGGCCTTCCTGCCCTCGGTCAAGAAGTTCTTCAGGAGCGAGCTTGCCTTTTCTCTGTCCTGCGAAGATTGGACACGGCATGATCATGCATCGAGCCTGAAACAAGCCTGGCCGATGACTACATTCCAGGTGAAGAGATTAAATGATAGGGGTGCAAATTGAACTTGCCTCAGGAGAGGCGCAGAGCATGGTCCGCAGCTGGCAGGCAGCATGCAGCTGCGGAACCCAGCGCAGTGGCGCAAAGCCGTCCGCGCTGTCCTGTGGATGCGCCATAGGAAACAACGAAGAACAGTAGAGGTGCGATGCATGCACAGCTGCAGAGCACACAGTATATATATATTGATATATATTGATATATTTGTATGGTGCGACTTTTTGCTTGCTTGGGGGGAAGAAAAGAGGCAACCGTGGGCCTGGACAATGTCGAGTCCGAGGTGCTCCTCCGCACCGTCAACCCCGGCCACATACCGGAGCTTGGCGGTGGATTTGCGGAGGAGCAGCTGCCATTTGCTGTCTTCGTCCTGTCACGCAGCGGAGATGTGTGGGACCAGTGCATGAGATGAGCGTGCATGTCCACAGACGCCATACACAGCTAGCTAGCCTGTAGTTGTGCATATGTCGTTTAGACAAGATAGCTATGGCGCCATGCATAAGAAAGACACATAAGAAAGAGACGGCTGAAGTTGACTGTCCTCGTTCACGACCAAAAGGCCCTTCCGAGGACGCGCATCCCGGTGCCAGTTTCCGCGAGGAGGCAGCGGAACTGGCACACGGGATAGCAGACTCTCCCCGTCTCCGGCTGCTGGTCAACGAGCGCTTTGTGCAGGATGCCCAAAGCCTGACGGGGACAGACATCAGCATTTGAAATGGCACATATATACATTCGTTATTGAAAGATGCTTTTGTGCCTGAGCATGAACGAAACATTGCGCGCAGCGCCGGTGCCTCGGCCAGAGCGTAGCCGATGGAGGCCTGTCCGTCCGTGACGTTGTCGCCCTTCGCGTTGAAGGTGTCGTCAACGACACGGACTTCGGCCTGCGGGAATCTTAATTGGGGTGGGGGTTCGTGTTCCAGTCATACATGTTCGTGCGATGCTAATCATTGATCATCATTTGTTTTGTAGTATGATGCGATGTTACACCACTGCTTTACATGACAAAGCTGCAAGCCTCCACGGGGAGCTGCAAGGTCCGCGAGGGAGTGCAGAGCAGCGGGAACCGGGCATACGCTGTCTGCAGACTCCCCGCGTTCTCGAGCACCTGGCAAAATTCATTGTCGCGATCATGGGAGAACAATCATCATGGTGCATGGCAGCCATTGCATGCAGAACCAAATAATATGTGCACGTGAGGAGAGTTGGGAGCCTCCGCGGCGGAGATGCTGCAGGCCAGCGGCTTGGACGAGTAGATGATGCTACCGTCCTCGCGCTGAGCACAAGTGGAATTCGAACCCCGTGAAGTTCAAAACAGAGTTGTGTTCGGTACCGCCAGAATACAGTTTTACACACAGTCATATGCAGTCCTCGCGGCCGCTGACCGCCTCCAAGCGCCGCGGGAAGTGCACGCTCTCGGACCATCTGACCAGGGTAGCGGGTTTTTCTCCTGCAGACACGGTGCCATGGGGGGGAATGCGGAGAAGTTGGTCGGTCAAGTGGCCAAATTTATCTATATCAACCTAACTCTATGACGTCGGTCCTCGCATACCCCAGTCCACCGTGTAGAGCGTGACTTCCAGCTCGCGAGACAAACGCGAGGGGTCAAGAGCGGCTACCACGACGGCGAAATGCCCGGGTAGGAGCGCCCGCTCTTGATTGTCCTGCGGCAAGCACGATTGACCCCGGTTACTTAGACTTAGGCATGTCTGCCTATATAAGATATGCATATAAGTATAATATGCGATTGCTGCGGTGTGGAAGTGGCCCCGCCTCTTGTTTGCCTCTGCAGCGTCGGCGCTTGAGGCTATGATGCTGCTCCTGCTCGGCCTCCGCCATGAAGGGCTCATCGTGAAAGATGGCACCTGACCCGCGCATGCATGCATGCATGTGCGTGTTTCCAATGGATGCGGAACACGGAGGGTCCAGAAAACCCGACAGAAGTGCGCGCCTTCGGCTCGAGCGTCCTTCTTGGCAGCATCATCTGCAACAGGGAGACAGTCGGAAAGAAAACGTGTGCCATCAAGAAGGTTGCTGCATGTGCATTTGAAGTTGTGAATGATTCAGTGAGCGGCGCGCCTACAAGGGCCGCAGCAGCTTCCGGGGCTGGAATGGCGGCTTCTTCCGGATCGCCTATATACCAAAAGCTTGGCGGAAGCAACGACAAGGATAATAGACATATATTGTTTTGCTGATACAGTGCTGTTGACATTGCGCCTGGAAGTGCCGCCATGGCGTCGAGGCAGGCCTCCAGCTCCATGTCGAAATGATCCGGGTTGTTCGGATCAGTTTCGGGAGCGGAGGCCTCTGCGTCCCGACCTGACAGGAGCCGAGTCGCCCACGCGCGCACACACACACATTTAAAGAGGAAAGAGGCGCCGTAGATTTAGGCCCGCCTTGTTGCTGCGGCCCTTCGAAGGTGTAGATGGGCAGCTGCTCCAAGGCGCGCAGCTGCACCTGCACGCAAGAATCCGGCAAAAGGATTGGACTGGCCGAGATTGAAATGCCAAGGGCATCAGGGAAAATCGCCTCCTTCGAAAGGCCGCAGAAGAAGTCGAAGAACTTTCGACTAGCGGCCGAGGGACACAGCCCCCTGTCCCTCCTGGCAGGCGGTGCGCGGTACACATATGACAAGCATGCATCTGTTTGCGAGGATTTTAAGCAAGGACATGAAATTATATAAGAAAATGTTGTCCCCCCTTGAGCGCCTCAGCAGGGCCGTAAGCACCTTGTAGCCGACCCGCTTAAGGACAAAGTCCTTTCCCCCGGCCCTCGCGGGGGGCGGGTCGGCAGCGCAAAGCGCTTCCAGGAAGGCCCGGTCGATGACAATCCTTGGACACAGCAATAACTTGGCCGCTTATTCTATTCATCTTGACGAGGGTGCTCTGAGGACCGCACGACGGGGCGGACGCCGTGTTGCCATTCTCGGCGTGGGCCTTCCTGTTGCGTTCCTCGGCAGCAGGAAGAAGAAGAAAACGAAGAAACAACCTGCATAGTAAGGAAAGGTTAGGAAGATTTTAGAAGTGATTATATTCGGCCCCGCGCCTTGTTCGACAAGAAATTGGGGCGGAACCGGAACGCTGCCTGAGTGACGAATGCGATGTGCAGGACGTGCACGCAACGGAAACCCGAAGAAAGAATAAGCACAAAAATGCGCCGGGGCCCGCGCGTTTCCATCCGCCGTCCACTCGGCCAGGGACGGCGGCCTGCTCGCCTTGTCGCTAAGGCCTCAACAAGCAACGCAACATTGCAAAGGGATGGACACGCGGCAACACGAGAAACGCAGCACGCGCCTGCACGCGCGCGGCGGTTCATAAACCGGCGCTCTTGCCCGCGATCCTGAGGCAAATGTGGGGCGCGGCGACGTTTTGCAAGGCAAACATCATATAATAAGATACAGGTCTACCGTCACTATTGAGCTGGGGACAAGGTTGGAGCAGAAGAAGCTCGGAGCCGAAGCAGGCACCGCCCCAGCCTTCGCCTTAAAATGGCTTAAGTGCTTTTGCTTGCGATGCAGTACAATCAGAAGAAAACAGTCAGCTGAAGTCGGTAGAAATTAAGGCAGGGACCGACGGCGGCTTGGCACGGCTGGTGGTGCCCTCAAGGTAAAAGAAAGATTTGGTATTTGGTATTCAAAGAAACACAAGGCCAAGTTTCAATGCTGTCATGAGTCATGCGATTACGAATTGAGGCCGCGACCGCTCCAGCTCCGGGGTCAGGTGCCGCGCCGCGGTGCTTTGCCGCCTGAAACATTGAGGAGTCCAACGACACGAGCGCGGGGCCAAGTCCCAAATGTTCCCAAGCCCCGCCTTGGCGCGCTCCTTGTTGACCCTGTTTCGCCAGCGTTTCTCGCATGCTGCAAGTCCCTGGGCATCGGCGTGTCGGGGTGTTGCATGATGTGCAAACAGATGGCACAGACGGACTGAGGCTGCAGCGCTGGCGCGCTGGTTCTTCTCCGGCTCGGCCACGAAGGTACCACCGCGACGGCGCGGTGCCTGCATGGCCAAGACCAGGACAGGTTAAATTGTTCTGAAGATAAGACGCTTTCAGCGACGCTGCCTTCTTCGTGGCCGAGCTGCCCAAGGACGCGGCGGAGCTCCACCCTGTGCGGGGCACCTGACAGGTGGCAAGCAATCTATACCCGGATTAACGCGATAGGATATCATTCCAAAAGTGCCGGGCCTCCACCGCCTCCTGGAGCTCTGCGATGAGCACCGGGTTCTGGAGGACGTAGTCCTGTCAGGAAGGGATATGGCAGCCGCCCTACTTCCCAAACCCGAAAGCAAGCAGCCGTGCCTCCAGAGGCACCGGTGCCTGGCATGCAGCAAGGCAAGCGATTCAGGTGCACTTGTCAGTGCATCACCCCAAACGCGCCTCGTCGAGCTCCACGTCGGCCCAGCTGCCCTTGAAAAAGGTGACGTCGGCAATGCAGGCCATTGTCGACTGGGTGATCGGCGATGCACGCATTTGTGGTGACAAGTGGAAGATTTGATCTGAGGTGCGGACAAAGGGAGCAAAAAAAATGGAGGATGAAAGCTTACAAGAAGGCTTGATAGCTTGAAAGTTGCTGCGGGCAGGTCACACATATATGCAAAGGTTCAACATGTGACAATGACAAGATGCAACATGGCCACTGCAGTCGACATATGGAAGCTTTGAGGCTTGGACGCGAGGAAAAGATGACGCGCAGGGGAACGAGGCAGTGGCGTCGAAGGCGACGCGCCTGGCCCGAAGTCACAAAACAGGCAGAATCAATCCTTCTGGGAAGATTTCGGGTGGCTTGCAGCAAAGAAGACGGTTTTGTTTGTTTATGTGCCAATATATATAGTGGCTATACCGGTGCATGAGTGTTTGTACTGAGGGTTTTATGCAAGATATACAACAGACAGAAGATGCCCGAGCACGCCTCACGAGCAGGGAATGAATGCAGACCAGAGACGCGAGATATCCCGATACCTGAGCCGGCAGACCCAAAGTGTCCAGGGCCGCAAATATTTATAGCTGATGGGGAGAAAAAAAGGGTCTCTCTCCAACACCCCTCGCCCCTTTGTCTCAATAGGTGGAACTTTGGTTATTACTTTTTCCCACTGTGTCTCCCCTGAGTGGCTTTGCAAAAGGGGGTTTGTACCATCAAAGAAAAACAGCTTAACTGGTGCAGACTAGTGTCAACTCTTGCAGGCCCGAGCGGCGTGGAGAAGAACGCCGAATATCGGAAGATAGCGCGTAAATATCGAATATAGCGGCAGATCGAATAGTGGCATCGATAAAAATGACCCGTGTCGAAGAATAATGCAGACCAATGCAGACCAATGCAGATTAATTGCAGCTAATAATGCATGCAGAGCTGCCGTCACATCCTCCATATCGACGCGGCTGGCGCGTCGGATTCGACGCACGGCCACGGCTTGGCCGTGGCAGGAAGCGAGCGAGGACCGGGAAGGCTGGACCCAGGTGATTCATGTGGATATTGCTGGACAAAGGCATTGCATTCATCCGGTATATACAGAGGGTATCCCACATCGCAGTGCTTAAAAAAAAGATGATATAGGCGATTTGTGCCCCGAACTGTGAACGCCCGCGGTAAAATTTCTCGGTCACCTGCTTGGGGGTATTTTGTATACTGCATGTATACAAGCATTTGTCCAGCAATATGTCATGGCCCCAAATTATGTGTCGTAAACTGCAACAACATGCAACAAATATATATCATCTCAAAGCAGGGAAACCCAAAAATTGCAAAGCCTGGTTATCGAAGTGGTCTTCTGGGGCTCAACCCTTTCATGTCAACCCAAAACATCATGGCAAAAAAACAGGCATAGTTTCGAGATTGGAGGAAAGAGGAGCTGAACAGAAGTGGAGGTGAAAGGAATAGCGGGGGGCGCCCTCCCTATATTCGGGCCCCCGAGAAAGGTCGACGTTCCACATCAAGGAACCTAGAAGAAAGACGCCTAGAGCAGGGCCACCTGCTCCGAGCATCCTTCCCTAAGGCTCGCTCGATGCTTCCTGCCGACCGGGCGCAAGAAGAAAAAAAATTTGGCAGAGGTTATCATCTTTTCTTTCTTCTCTTCCTAGGGGGGGGGCCGAAGGCCGGGGGGGAGCCCAAAGGCGTCCAAGGGGCAGGGAAGGCCCGAAGGCCTTGAGCCCAAGTGGGGGGAGGGGGCCCGCAGGCCCCCCCCCCCAGAACCCAGCGGGCAAAGGGGTGTCTCTTGTCTTGTGGGGATCCCCGGAGCGTGTGGCCCGCCGCTCCAGGGATCCCTTCCCTGCTCGGCCGCTAAGACGTAAACCCTCGCTACCACCCTCGCAATTTGACCCGGCGGAGTATCATGCGATACCCCACGGGGCCAAATCACTAGGGCAGCGGTAGCGAGGGTTTACTCCCCCCTAGTCTTGACAATCCCTCAAGTTTCAAGACTAAGGGTCCTATTCATACAATGCAATGCCTCCCAGTTGGCTATAAATTCTATTCTAAAACTATTTAGGGTATATATTATATAATATATATATATACATATGGGGATTAGGGTGCGCAACTGGGAGGTATTGCATTGCATGATATTTACCCTACGCGGCATTTCAATTTCGTGTGCCAGGAACGTTTTCAGATCCTTGGGTGCTCTTGCCAATTCCGCTGCGTTCTTCATGCCCGACTTGGAGTTGTTCCCCTTGCCGGGCTTCGCCAGGCCATCTCTGTCATCGCGCCCCGATAACCGGCGATTTATGCGGTTATTACTATATACGTTATTATGTGTTAGAAAGGTTATTGGGGTGATTGTCGAGGGACTAGAACTAATATAATTATATATGTTATCTGGGTTTTACAATTCATAAAAACACATATACGGATGGACATGTATGTGTTTGGCCATTTTCCTTTGCCTGTGCAGGGATTCTGCGAGGCAGTTGGCACTACGCCTGGTCACAAAAATCGATGGGAATGCCGACCTCTATAGCGGCGGGCGGCCAGTTGCACCCAGCTTCAGTAGCTCTCGCTTTGAATGCGGATCCCTGTGTCTACAGCTCCAGGCGAAGAGAAAGGGCTCGATGGGTCTTTGATCCGCTTTGTTCAACATGTGTCAACACGCCGACTGGTTGATGACCTCCGGACACAAGCAGCCCTTTGGTGCATGCATGCGGCGAAGGTAGACGGCTCATATAGCCTCCTATACGCCCCATCGACCCACCAGAGACCACCGAAGGCTATATAGGGAAGGCCGCGCTAGGCCTTTTTGTCCCCGAGGAGTGCATCTTCGCGTCCGACGCAAGCAGAGCGTCTGCTACGCGCGCTTGCGGTAAACGCAAGTCATCTTGGTGCGAACAGAATTTCTGCAGCCAGCGGGCATTTCAAACAAATACGGCTGATGACCTGACATGCTAGCACAGAGGCTGAGAAATACATTCCTCTGATTTCTTCCCTTGAAGAGCGAGGTTTCACGGTCATGGACCAGCAATCCACCCGTGCGCGAGGGGATAGCACAGGCAATTGTCACGGTATATACCTCTATCGACAGGTTTGCGCTGCGCGAAGAGAATCGATGCGCCTCTGCGTGTCAAGCATGCAGCGATGCGCCAGCACAATGGCTCGCGGATGTCACGGCCAAGTTTACCGCTCACTTTTGAACAGACCGTTCGAATATACCGCCAAAATAACATCTGAGAAAAAAAGGCGCCGTCTTGTAGAGCGCTTCGCGTGTCAACCAGCTTGTGACGCAGAATCCTTTCCATGTCTATACTCTAGTCCTCAAAGCCGTCATTGTTTGCTACAACCGGCACCAAAATAAAACACTCGACGAGAAGTGCAAGCGGATTTTCTTTCCTCGCTGATTATCCCAAGCCCGTTCGCTTGACAGTGGTTTCGCTAGATAGTAGGTAGGGATGGCGGGAATTTCGTTAATCCATTCATACGCCTCACCCATTAAGATCGCGGGACATCTGGCTCCCTTACTGAGTGGATGGTCTTGGGAAAGTGATCAGTAAGTTGTAGCACTTTAAGCACTTGCATTACTCACAAGAAAATTAGAAACTTAGCAATCGACGATTTTTAAAATTAAATGCAAAATTCCCTAAGTTTATATTTCGGACTGATGACTCAGGACTTAGGCCACCATAGTGACATAGGATTTTGTGCACCAAGTCCTAAGTCACTGGTGTTCTTACCAGGTGATTTGTGCGCACCATGTCCTAAGTCACTGGGGTTGTGATTGGATTCAAGCACTTTTTAAGGTGAAAAAAACTTATTCTCGTAATAAGTCTTCAGAATCTACATACTTACATTACATTACAGTACGGTACACTGCATCACTACAATACAGTAAAGCACAATACATTACATTACACTACAGTACATTACATTACATTACAGCACATTACAGTACATTACATTACACTACATGCACAGGACTTGGTACACAGAATCGTATGTCACTAGAGGGGCACAAGTCCTAAGTCATCAGAACCCACATACCTACAGAACATTACAGTACAGTACAGTACATTACACTACGGTACATTACGTTACCTTACAGTAAAGTACAGAAAATTACATCACACTACAGTACATTACATTACAGTAAAGTGCAGTACATTACATTACACTACAGTACATTACAGTACATACACGCATAGGACTTGGTGCACAAAATCGTATGTCACTAGAGGGGCACAAGTCCTAAGTCATCAGAACCTACATACTTACAATACATTACAATACAGTACAGTACATTACACTACACTGCATTACATTACAGTACAGTACATTGCACTACATACATACAAAGGACTTGGCAATCGTATGTCACCAGAGGGGCACAAGTCCTAAGTCATCAGAACATACATACATATATTACAGTACAATACAATACAGCACATTACATCACAATACATAGTACGTTGAAAAACACATATTTTCAATATTTTTCAATTTTTTTAATTGCTTCCAAATAGTGCCTGTATAGAAATCGAAGGAAAATGAAAATCACAGATGTGTTTGACATATTTTTTGAAAATGGGCACAAGTCCTAAGTCATCAGAACCTACATACTTACATTACATTACATTACATTACAGCACATTACAGTACATTACGTTACATACATGCACAGGACTTGGTACACAAAATCGTATGTCACTAGAGGGGCACAAGTCCTAAGTCATCAGAACCCACATACCTACAGAACATTACAGTACAGTACATTACACTACGGTACATTACGTTACCGTACAGTAAAGTACAGAAAATTACATCACACTACAGTACATTACATTACAGTAAAGTGCAGTACATTACATTACACTACAGTACATTACAGTACATACACGCATAGGACTTGGTGCACAAAATCGTATGTCACTAGAGGGGCACAAGTCCTAAGTCATCAGAACCTACATACTTACAATACATTACAATACAGTACATTACACTACACTGCATTACATTACAGTACAGTACATTGCACTACATACATACAAAGGACTTGGCAATCGTATGTCACCAGAGGGGCACAAGTCCTAAGTCATCAGAACATACATACATATATTACAGTACAATACAATACAGCACATTACATCACAATACATAGTACGTTGAAAAACATATATTTTCAATATTTTTCAATTTTTTTAATTGCTTCCAAATAGTGCCCGTATAGAAATCGAAGGAAAATGAAAATCACAGATGTGTTTGACATATTTTTTGAAAATGGGCACAAGTCCTAAGTCATCAGAACCTACATACTTACATTACATTACATTACAGTACGTTCCATTACGCTACAGTACATTGCATTACAGTAAAGTACAGCATATTACATTACACTACAGTACATTACATTACAGTAAATTACATTACATGCATGCACAGGACTTGGTGCACAAAATCGTATGTCACCAGAGGGGCACAAGTCCTATGTCATCATGGTTTTACTAGTGGTCTATGCCGCACAAAAAAAAATATCAAACATAGTTTCTAATCTCATACGGACAGCTGATGAGTTAGGACTTGTCCAGAGGGGGTGTCCGACGCATGATGAGATAGGGCTTGGCCACACCGGGGTACCTGTCACAAGTCCTAAGTCACCCGCTTGAAATTTAACTTGCACAACTTATAAGTGCTCTAAGTTTTTGTTGCTTCAGGAAGCATTATATTTTGAGCTTATTTTTGAAACATTGTCGAAAACAACACATTCAGTAGGTTGTAGGTGCCCTAAGAAAATAAAATTTACTTATTAGCTGACTTAAGGAGTTTACAACAGCTTATAACCTAGTTGTAGCAGTACTTGCAAGTACTTACAGGTACTCTAAACCAAAACCATCCACTCAGTAAGAGAGTCGTAGCAACTTACGTCGTTTACTCGCGCTTGTTTGGCCTTTGTTCAATTTGATATTCAGCACTGGGCAGAAAATCACATCGTGTCAACGCTTTCTGAGGCCAGCATCACGCCTTGGTGGAGGGAATCGCGTCCTGGAGGCAGTGGTCAGAAACCCGATGAAAAATCACAACAACAACAACAGCAAAAACAACAACAACAACAACAACAACAAAGACAAAGGCATAAAGATCAGTATTGGATTTCTATACTTACATTACATATCCTCAGGACATATACGTTACATACGTGCAGATCGATATATCGGTCGCGATCTGCCGCTTCACTCTATATATATATATACGCTGTCTGTGTATGTATCACAGCGCACGGTATATCGCTATATATTGTATTGGGTCTGTCTATACAATTCGCATCTGTAGCTATATTTTATTGCTCTATGTATTTAGATTGTCCCAGTCGTCTCAGCAGGAACACCGATTATTTGTTAGTCAGTTGCTACATTTTTAACTTGCATCTTCACTCCTGGGTGATTTTGTAATAAAGATAGTAAAGCAATATCCCATATCAGCGACCGAGGTGGATTGGAGCGACAAATCGACAAATAAAGAAGGGTATTGTGACAAATGCGGACCAAAACATTGACTGGGACAGCGACAAAGCCGGGGACAGAAGATAAAAATGGAAAACACGGACAGCGACAAATCACCATATCAGACCAGGCCAGATCAAATCAGACCAGGCAAGCCAGATACTATAGAAGAAATATCGACGGATATAAATGTGATGGTTGATATCCACCTGAAAACGTACTGACTGATGATGCCTTCTGGGATTGTAACTACATCTCCAACGGCTTTGTGTCATGCCGCCCGGCATGAAAAGCATTGTCTGCTCACACGCTCGGTTGTGCAGCTTGCAGCCGCGGGCGCCAGTCTCGGACCGTACCCGCTTCTCACCTGTCTTAGGTTAAGGAGATCGAGGACGGATCGGTTTATCTCGCCGGCGGTCCATGCCCAACACCTTGCGCAGAGCATTCTGGACTACCTCAAGCGAATGCCCTGCTTCAAGGATGGTCTGCGGGTGGACCTCGCAGTCCTCTTGGGCAGGAACCGGTCGATGTTGAGCTTACCGGATCATTGTATACTACTGTCGCGCGCGCGCTTGTTTCTCGCTCGATCCAAAGCAGTCGCATGCATGACAAAATGTACAATAATAACGATAAAAATCTCGCCGCCCAGGAGTGCATTGCACGGCGTCATATTCGTTGGCCGATTTGTCAGAAGCACATGCTGCTTTGAAAGGCCACGTCATGATCCGGCACCCAACTAGCAGCAATTTGGCAGTAGCCCTTGCTGTGGAGCATTTCCATGGTCATGTCATGGAGGCGGGTCGGGTTTTCTTGCGCGTCTTCTTGGGCGTTGTCGTCCCCACCGACTTCTGCTTGGTGAGCGCGTATGTTTCTTGCTTGAGCCAAAACAGCTATGCTCTACGAAAAGTATACTTTGAAATCAAGGAACATGTCGCACCGCAGAAGTGGATGACACGATATCAGTCCTAACCGTGGGAAAACCAATACCTGATGGACTCAAAAACGTACCCGGGTACAGATAATATTTTTACAGGCAAATGAGAAAGTGAGAAAGTGAGAGTGAACGAATGGATGAATGGATGAATGGATGAATATGGTGACACATGGATGGATGATACGTCGAATGAACGGATGGATGAGTGGAAAGATGAGGTCGATGGGAGGAAAGATGGTTGGATAAATGGACAGACATAGCGAGAGCGATGAAGAGATGGATGGATGGATGGATGGATGGATGGATGGATGGATGGACAACGTCTTCCTACCGAAAGGGTATTTGAATATTTGCCATGTACTGGCTACTCTCAAGATCTCATGTGCCATACATACGCGCTGGTCACGTTCTGCCTAAACACTGTCTACATGATGCCTCTATCACACCCGACCCTCCTGGGGTGGAAAGACGAACAACCAGCTATTAAAAACACTTGAAAAAAGAAAGCAAGGATGGATAGGAAAGGAGATAGAGACATGGATATATAGAGAGACAAAGACAAGCAGGGGTAGTAGAAGCAGAAAGAAACATTAGCACAAAAGTGGAAAGTAGGGAAGCGTGGAAAGCAAAGACATAGCAGAGAAGCAGCAAAGAAGTAGGACATGCAGAGAACCGAGGAAAACAAAAATCAGAGAAGCAGCGAAGCAAGACAACAAAAAAGCAGAAAAATGGGGGGGGCAGACAAGCAGAGAAGCAGGACAAACAGAGAAGCAGGAAAGGAAACATCCCGGCGGACCAGAAACCGTCCTTATAAGACACATGTTTTTCAAACAAATGGTGATTTTACCACAGTGCCGTGCTGATTTAATGATTGGAAGTCCTGGAAAAACTTGGGGCGCGTTTTTTGGCTTTTCAGCGTCGTCGGCAGCGTAGCAAAATGTCGCGTAGTAAACGATCTCAGGGATCTCAGCAGCATGGCAATATATCATGTACGAAGTACAAGGACCGTGAACATGCCCCCCTACCCCACCCCACCCTATCAGCAGCGTAGCAAAATGTCACTTAGTAAACGATCCCAGGGATCTCAGCAGCATGGCAATATATCATGTACGAAGGGCAAGGAACGTTAACATGCCGCTGCCCCACCCCACCACACCCCACCACACCCCACCCACCCCATCAGCAGCGTAGCAACATGTAACCTAGTAAGCGATCCCAGTGATTTCAGCAGCATGGCAATATATCATGTACGAAGTACAAGGACCGTTAACATGCCGCTGCTTCCCCCCCAACCTCACCCCACCCCACCCCATCAGCAGCGTAGCAACATGTAACGTAGTAAACGATCCCAGAGATCTCAGCAGCATGGCAATATATCATGTACGAAGTACAAGGAACCTTACCTACTTCCCCACCCTACCCCACCCCACCCCACTGATTTACGGGAACGGGTTTCGGTTCGCTGGCAAAAACATAAAAGTAGAAATGCATAGAATTATAGAAGGGGAAAGGCAAAGAAGCAATGACAGCATAGAACCAGGAAGGCGATCTTGACCCCCAAAAAAAAAAACAAAAGTAAACAACGCATCCATAGGTATTGTTTTTAATACGACTTGCACACGAAAGCAACGCGAGGCGTTTTTATCATACTAAGATCGGACCGAGAAATTCGGTCAAATCAGTGAGGCTAGCTGCATGCTGTGGCGTTGTAGGGTCAGCTCCACTCCATCAGCTGCTCCGCAAAGAATGTACCGCTGCGTTCAAACGACCCGCCTCTGTCGAAAGGCTGGTCTGCTCGTGGCTCTTCAACGTGGCCAGGTAGACCTTGCGGCCCTTCTCTACCCTTTCTGCTTCAGCGAGGAAGCTGGGCATCCGGGTTCACGGGGACCCCGTCAGCCTGACACAGCGGTTTTGCAGACTGGCCTACCACCTGGCCAAGGGTTGTGAAACACAAAGCCAAAACAAAGGAGACAATGGCATTCTTGTTAAACCAATTTCATTGTAGCATGGGAGGCCCGCTTAAACACTCGGCCGAAGCTTGCCCCATGTCCCGCGATGTGATGGAATAAAAGCAAAGGTAGGACCATTGCGGAGCATTGTATCAAAGCCATCGTTGTCTTGAGAACTTCCTTTTTGCGGGATTCACCCTGTCCACTTGTAATTGAACGGGTAGGACCCACAACACAATTATGCACAAAGTTTGAGGCCTTTGATCGAGTTCCTCAGCTCTCGCAGCTCTTCTGTGCCAAGTTCGTCTGCACCGATCTTAAAAAACAAGGGAAGCGCTGTCCTCACTGTCAGCTCTCCCATTGCGCCCATTATGTCCACCTGAACAGTGTCTGCCGTCTTGATGGACGGGATTTACGAGGCTTCTTCTATATTCAAAACCGACAAAACCTGTCTGGCGACGACTCTGCAACGGCTCCAAACCCGCGTCTTCCCACTGATGGCTCAAAGTTGAGATCCATCTACAGATGGCTTGTCCAGGGTACCCCCATCGATTGACGCTGCTTTACCATCCACGAGCGGGAACGGCATGGCAGCAACCGCATCAGCAGTTCAAGGAGTTTGGGCGGATGCTAAGGTCTTTAAGTTGTAGAATGGAAGGGCGCTGTGCTGAGCGACGCTCGTGTTCGCCAGCTGTTGTTTCTAATCTGTGCTGACTAAGAAAGAAAAGGGGGAAGGGCCCGCTCAGGGACCCGTCTGCACGCAGCGCCCGCGTTTGTGTTTTGCTTGAGCCAAAACAGCTGTAAGAAAATGAGAAAAAAGAGGGTTTACAAATAGACACACTCGCACCGAGGGAGACAGACACGCAGACAAACATACAGACGGAAACAGACAGACCGACGACCCAGACAGACAACCCACACAGGCCAACCAGACAGACTGCCCAGACAGGGACGGACAGACACAGACGGACAAGCAGGTGGACAGACAGACAACACTGACAGACAACACCGACACACAACCCAGACAATCCAGACACACAGACAGACAACCCAGACACACAGACAGACAACCCAGGCCGACAACACAGACAGACAGCCAGACAGGCAACAGGCAGACAGACAAGGACAGACAGACAAAGACAGAGAAACAAAGACAGGCAGATCTCTACTCTACCATCTTCGCATCTCTCGGGCAACCTTCATCTGCAAGGTGGGGAAAAAGGGACAAGAAAGGAAAAATAAAAAGAATCTATCAGACCGCCGTCGCTGTTCACAATGCGCGAAGAAATTGGTGGGCACAAATTGATCTCGTCGACGAACAAGAACCGCCAATAGGCCAGTCGCTTTGCGCAATCTGGGCTCGCGGGCCGGTCGCAGCTGTGCTGCCCCCGGTTGAAGAGGAAGGCGCAATGTGTGGTGTCGTCGTGCAAGTCGGCAGCAGTGTGGCATGGTATAGGCTGTGTATTCGATGTCCTTCTTGACCCCAGCCTTTTCGAAGGGTTCCTGGAGCAACTTCACCGCGCGCGACTTGCCGGTGTCTGTCCAACACGCAGTATCTGTCTAACACACCCCAAAACAAATTGTTGTCAATGTAGATTGCACATGCAAGGCGCAGAACCATGCGAACTTACGCGCGCCTGCCAGAATCCGGCCCGGAAGGGCTGCTGGTCAGGATTTGGCCCAAAAAAGGCATTTGGGTTCATCTCATGCTAGCACTTTAATGGCCCTCTCACAGGCCAAGCAAATGCCAAAATCCGGCTCCAACGGGCTGCCGGCCAGGATCTGGCCCAAAAGGGCTGCTGGGGCTCATGTTCACACTAGCGGTTTAATAGCCGCCTGAGGCGCCAACCAAAGGTTGTCGGCCAGGATTTGGCCCGAATTATGGGGATAAAAGATTTTAGGGTTAATGGATTTAGGGTTAAAGGATTTTAGGGTTAAAGGATTTTAGGGTTAAAGGATTGTGGGGTTAAAGGAATTTTAGGGTGAAGGGATTTTAGGGTTAAGGGATTTTAGGGTTAATGGAGGGTTTAGGGTTTAGGGTTTTAGGGTTTAGGGTTTAGGGATTTTAGGGTTAATGGAGGGTTTAGGGTTTAGGGTTT